GAGCCAATCATCAGCTGGCAGCTGGAAGTTTGCTGGGGCCCCTTTGGCTGTGGCTCTCAACACAACACATACTGAGAACTATAAAACATTGTTTAAGAAATTAACAACAACTAAATAAATGAAAAGACATCTTGTGTTCATGGACTGGATGACTTAATTTTAAGATGGCAGTATTTTCCCAAGTAATTTACTGATTTAATATGGTCCCTATCAAAGACTCAATAGCCTGTTTTGCAGAAATGGAAAGGCCAAGCCTAAAACTCACATGGAAACACAAAGGACCCTGAATAACTAAAACAACTTGGTAAGGAACAACAAAGTTGGAAGACCCAATCTCAAAGTTGGAAGATATCCCAATTTCAAAACTTATAACAAAGCTTCAGTAATCAAAATAGTGAGGTACTAGCACAAGGACAAATGTTCAAAACACTGGAATAGAATTGAGATTCCATAGATAAACCCCTACACCTCCACAGTCAATTAATTTTCAGCAAAGATGCTCACACCATTAATGGAAAGAACAATCTTATTAACAGTTGATGCTAGGAAAACTGCATATCCACATGTAAAAGAATTAAGTTGGACCCTTACCACACTTCATATATGGTAATTAATTCAAAATGGATAAGATATAAATTTAAGAACTATAACTATAAAATGCTTAGAATAAACCATAAGGGAAGCTTTCCTGATCTTGGATTTAGCAATGGTTTCTGAAAAGATATCAAAAGTAAGAGCAACTAAGAAAAAATAAATTGGACTTCACTAAAACTTAAAACTTTTGCACAATAAAAGATGCTATCAAGATAATAAAAAGACTACCCTACCCAGGAAATAGAACAAAATGTCTGCAGATTATGTATAAGGATCTACTAACCAGAATACATTTGTAAAAACTCTAAGAAGACAATACAAATGGCTAAGCACACAAAAAGAAGCTCAATGCTACTAGTAACTACGGAAATACAAATCAAAATAAGATACCACTTTACAAAACCTAGAATGGCCATAATTGTAAAATAAAAATAAAACAACAAAAAAGAAAATAATAGATGTTGGTGAGAAGGTGAAAGAGTGGAACTCTCATATACTGCAGGCGGGAATATTACATTTTTACAAGGTGCAGCCACTGTAGAAAATGCTTTAGTGATTTCTCAATAAGTAGAACAAAGAATTATCGTATAACACAGCAACTCCACACTTAGGTATATATCAAAGATGGTAAACACATGTTCAAACAAAAACTTAAAAAGAGTTTTTAAATAAAACTTTTATTTAAAAATTCTAAATAAATGAAAAGACATCTTGTGTTCATGGACTAGATGACTTAATTTTAAGATGGCAGTATTTTCCCAAATAATTTACTGATTTAATATGGTCCCTATCAAAGACTCAATAGCCTGTTTTGCAGAAACACTAAGCCCCAAACTTATTTCATACATCATTGATAAATACAATAAGTATCAGCATATTATTTCTGATAATATAGTGTTTAAATTTTATATTTTTGCTGGAGTATAAATGCCATAAAGGCATTCACTTATGACTTGTGTGAATGACTTCTACATGGTAGGATTTCAAATAACCATTGAATGAATGAATGAATGACATATTATTAACTCCAAAGCTTTCGATGGTTCCCTAATATGCATGCAATAAAGTTTCAACTCTTCCCTACATACAGCTCATAAGTCCTACATAATTTGTCTCATATTTCTTTCTAATTCATTCTAGCTTCATTAATGTCCTGGGCATTGTGCTAGAGATACAATGGGAAGACAAACAGTACCTCAACCTTATGAAGTTTATGGACCAGAAGGAAATATAAACAATAAAGTAGTAATATTGAGTGACATAAGGTCTGAGGTATCATGAGAACTGAACAAGTATATCGGACCTGGACTCTGGAATAGGAAAGAGAGGCTCAGGAAAGCTTTCTGGGAAAAGTGACATCTTGGCTCAAACAGAAAGATAAAGCTAGGTAAAGAACAGGGCAAGATCCAAACCCAAGGATGTACATACAGGAACATAAAACTGAAACAGGGATGGAAAGGATGTTATTTCTGTAATGCTAATTATGGATTATCAAGCAGGAGGACAGCAGAGAGAGATAAGGTGAAAAGTTAAACACTCTAAAACAATGGAAAACCACTAGAGTTTTAAGAGGAAGCAAAAAAGAAAAATCACTGAATGTATTAGCTACATTCAGTTTGTATATTTTACTAAGGATATGAACTATATCTGTTTAGTCATTTTGCCAGTGACCAGAATAATGCTAGGCTCATCCTACATAATTGGTATTTATTTAGTGCTATCAAATAAAAATTTTTCTGCTACTAATGGTAGCAGAAAAAAACCCCAAAATTTCTGATTCTATAATGTATTATGCATGCAAACATATACAAATACTACATATGTATACATAAGGAAACTAGATTTCTCTGAAACTAGATTATGGCTACAATAAAACCACTGAAATTAGTTAAAACTGGAATGACTCAATTAGACTGAAAAATACTGCTGTCTTGTTAAAAACAAATGTAAAAGTAAAAATATGGCTGGAAATATACATAATTGTTATTGAAGAACCAATAATTTATGTTTTGCCAAACATAAATTTTCATTAGCCTTGTTTGAATACAGGTCAGCTGTATATGTCCAACCTGAAGTAGGTAAAAATTTTGTCAGAATTAGGCAAAATTGAGAAATGTATTTTTCAACCTTTCCAGATTCTGACTTTAACTTACTTCAAACATTAGTGATTGGTTCAGTTTTACTTTTTATAATCTAGATAATATGGCTTTAAAGTAAGCTAAGGCTGAGAATTTTCAAGGCACAATATACCTCAGGGTTCATACCGGTACAATATTCCTAAACTAAAACTATGTTACGTGAAAATCTGGAAATGGTATAACAGCAGCATTTTTGCCCTAGAACAATCTTGAATTTAAAGTTGAAAGAGAATTTTTCTTTTGTCACCAAAAATTTTAACCAAGGGGTATTAAAGACCAAATTCAGAGAAAAAAATAAATGAAAATCTATCTATTTGTTATGATTATATATTTCTTTTAAAAAGTCTTTGATAAATCCTAATTATTACCAGTTTCAGATACATTTACATAAAATTAAAAAAGCAACATATTCCTCAGTTTTGCAAAGGTAGTGCAATTTATTTAATTTACAATTGTTTGAGTTCCTTTTAAGAGCCTATTATTGCTTAGATGATCTTTCTGTGATAACCAGAGCCTGCCAAAGTGGATGTGTAACCGATGTGATTCTGCAATCTGTATAAGGGGTAAAAATGGGAGTTCATAACCCACTTGAATCAAATGTATGAAATATGATATGTCAAGAACTATGTAATGTTTTGAACAACTAATAATAAAAATTAAAAAAAAAAAAAAAGAGGAAAACCTTTTCAATGAAAGTATGCTATTATTATGGGCCAGGCTGTACAGGCAATGATCAAACAGATTCCATTTTGCCTTCAGACTTGACATCATGTAAGAAATGCTTCTCCCATGGAAAGCCCCGCCTCCTTACCCATCCACAGTTGCTTAGCATAGCATGTTTGGCAACACAAACTGGCAATTCTTATACAATGTATAAGTATGCTCTCTTTGATTCCCATTTTTCGGGTCTCTGTACCCTGTCAGAGATTGTCTAGATGTTAGTAACCATTCTTTAACTTGTATACATCTAGGGATGTTTTGGCCCACTCCCTTTTCTGCTTATGATTTTAGATAGTATGATTTTTGTTTATGGTTTTGAATCACAGCAACACCCACTTATGCTTTAATATGGTTTTGGACTATAAAAGGTTTACTCAAACCCTGAGAAGGGGGTTGAAGGGTGTAGACTTGCAGCCTACACCTTGGCCCACCAGCTGGTGGATCCAGAACCCTGGCTGGTGAATAAAGTTTCTGGCTCCTGCTTTAAGATCCACTTGGTGATTTATTGCAATCACGCCTTAGCGTTATGACCTGAAGTAATGTCACCACCTAAATTTTTAAAAATATAATCATATTTTGTTTTCATATCTCACAAGTTAAATGTCCTATTTTCAGATGAGGAAATTGTGTCCAAAAGAAAACACGTGTATTTATTGAATCGGGAACAGAGTTTAACTATGTTTGGAGCATTCAAACTCAGCTTTTACTGCTAAGTCTGGGTCCAATGAGAGGTATCTTATTTTCACTAGGGATGATCTTATCTTTTACACAGTTAAAAAAAAAAGAAAAGAAAAGAAATCCCGGGCTGGATTGTAGAGCACTTGCCTCACAACTGTGAGGCACTGGGTTCGAGCTTAGCACCACATAAAAACAAATAAAGGCATTGAGTCCATATACAACTAAATTAAAAAAAAAAATCTCAACAGATTCCAATTTTCTTTAAGAAGTAACTGATTCTATAAGTATGACAAATAGATGAAAGGGTGAAGAAAGTATAGTAAACTGGGATGCCACTTGTCAATTTAGCCTGCCATACTTTCCCCCATCATCTCAAAACCCTTTGACTGAGACCCCCAAGTAGGGGCGGGGGGTTACTTCAGGCCCAGGGACTCCTTGGGGGCCTTGTCTTGGGCAGGGGTGGTTGGGGGGGTGGCTTCTGGCCAGGCCCCCGGGGGGCCTCTCATTAGGCCATGGAGGGGTGGTGGAGTTCAGGCATGAGCCTCTGAGGACCCTGTCTTGGGTTTGGAGAGGCAGGGGGACTTCAGGCCCGGACCCCGGGGGCCTTGTCCTTAGGAC